AAAGAAGCTGAAAGAAGAAGCTACGGGCTGCTTACAGTTGCGATAAAACGAGACGTGCACCATGGTTGTTCTCCTCTGCTGCCGCCGATGCGTGCGTTGCTCCGCCGATGTGGTGCAGCTGATCGCAGTAGGAAATGGTCACTAGGGTTTCAAATGAAAAAAAATGGGGAGACGGGTATATATTCCCTTTCTTGGAAGGCCTAAACCCTAATGGGCTTTCTGAAGTGGGTCAAGTTAGTTGGGCCAACAGATTTTGATTTAGGGCCTTTTTAAACCAACAACCCACAGAGACTTGAGATAAAATTAGGATCCCGTGAATGACCATCCATCCTTTAGCGAAAGTCTAGACATCAATACATAAAGGTCAAAGTCTATATACTGTAAAACTAGTTAATAGTTTATGACTGATAGATAATAGCTTATTACTGAATAGTTAGTTGATATGATAAAATTAATTGATAAATCAGTTGAAATAAATATTTTAACGGGCTTATTTGCAAAGATATAACTCGAACTTTTTAGAAAAGTTCGTCCTACCAAACCAAACTAATTATAAATTAATCGAATAAATTATAAATTAATTTGTGGTGCTTACCAAACACACTCATAATTGTGACTACGTTTATTATTAAACTTGAAAATATTTATATATAGAGAGAGATTTATTATTGTNATCAAACTAATTAAAATCAGTAATTAATTAAAATCAAATATCACAATCTTTTTAATTCCTTCCCAAACGAAAAAGAATAAAGGAAGAAGGTAGGAAAAAATAAAGGGGCTCAACATGCATTATTTTCTGTACTCACCTGGTGCCTGGTGGGAGATTTTATGACATAAATAAAAAATAAAAATTAAAAAAACCACGCAAACAGGGAGTGACTATAATGTACTGGGCCAACCAATTTTTCTATAAAACTATTATTAAAATTCTATAAATGTCCCACAGAGCACCAATTTTTCTATAAAACTTATATTATAATTCTATAAATGTCCCATATAAGATGCTCTTCTGAAAAAACCAGGAACATGGTAATAACTCCTGGCAGGTTAATAAAGAGAAACAAGACCATGTTATTTCCCGAAGATTGAACGGTCAAGATTTGTTAGTTGGTAGTCATGTACGGTAGGGCCACCACCACCTGATCAGGAGCTGCAGCCATCTGAATATATGATCATGAGAAAATGAAGATTTTCATTTTTTTACATATATATATTTTTTTCATTTTATTTAATTTAATTTATAAAAAAAAAATGTCGATAACTAGGGTTTACAGTACTGATGAACACGTGAAAGGCACCTGATGAAAAGGATGATGGATTATAATGTGTGTGGGAGCCTCCATTTATTTGAATTGTGTCATGAATCCTTTGCCTAATTTAAGGGAGCCTAAAATGTAGAGACATACATATTTAGTTGTATGGACCTTTTTGGATAAATTAGAATCAATATTGTCACATTTGAAATAATCATGCGTTTATTACCATTATTATCTACATGAAACACTAGATGCATACATTTGAAATGAAATGTTATATTCAATAACCGGTATAAATAAAAGCATGATATTTCATAACATAAGTATGCACGATTTGACCTGCTCACATAAAAAAGTTGTGCTTATATAAAATGTTAATGAAATATCTACTTGGTTTATTTCCCGATTCATAAACAAATGAAAATCTGATATCATAAAGAAAGGATATCTATATATATATATATATGTATATGCAANAAAAAAAATTCCGCTCATTTTTCTTTAAATATATAATTAACCAATACATTTATTTTTGCAAGTGTAATAATATTTTTTTAACTATTATATCATACATGATTACTAATTAAGTAATTATATTAACGAATTTTAAATTCACACTAAAAGGTTTTTGAAAGCTACATATATTTATTTTAAAAATTATATCATATATTTGTTTTTATCTCCTCAAGTGATTTTTTAATAGCTAATTAGTTTTAATGCCGGCATAGAAAATCTCTTAGAATTGCTTTAACAATTGTTATAATAATAATAATTTTAATATTTATTTTCAATTAATTTATTGAACATATACCTTCAATTTATAAGTTTTGCATTATTAATTAAATTTGGTGCAATTTATATAACATTCGTATATAAGCAAAATACTTTATAACTATATTTTAATTAATTATTAAATTTATAAAATGTGATATATTACTTATCTAATTTATATTTTAAATATAATATTCACACATATGACTTATAATATTTTATCATAATTATATTTTATAATATTTTATTTGTATTTGTGGATGTGGAAGTACAAGTTTACCTTGTATGAGTAGCAAAAGTACAAAATAAGTTAATAATTAGTCCATGAAAATTCAAATCATATAAGACATGCAAGGTTGCATACGGTCAATATATATGTACGTCTTTTGTTACAATAGTACATGATATTATGTATTTTTCTCAAAACCCTAAATTACTATTGCAATCCCCTCACATATTAGCTCAAATAATAATTAAAAAAAATGAAAACTATAGGAATCAAAAGCCACACAAACTTAACCAAACCATCAAAATATGAAATAATAAGATTAAATTCCTAACAAATGATATAGATCATCAAGCCAGGCTAAAACATATATAAAAAGTTTTGCAACTATCATTCAGTTTCAATCTAAATAATAAAATTTGATGATAGAAAAAGAGTTTTACATAAGTATAAATTAAAACATAAAAATCCATACGCTTTTCACTCATCAAAATTTGATCGTGCTTCAACAAGCCGGCCATTCCTGCTCCCGCCGCCGCCGCCGCCATCCTCCGCCCCGCCATCACCGGAAACCGCCCTAAACCCATTAAACGCCGCCAGCATGCTCAACTGCCCGTTGGCTGCCGCTCCGCCACCTCCCCTGCCCGCAACCTGCGGCTGCCCCGCCAAGAAAGCCACCGCCGGTGCCTGAAAATTCATAAAATGCAGCCCCCCGCCGGAGCTCCACCCGGACATCTCTCCGCCGCCGCCGCTGCCGCCGCCCATCACCTGCAGAAACGCCGTCGCCGGGGTCTGCCCCTGTGTCGTCGGAATCGAACCCGCCGTGGACTGCACCATATACCCGCCCCCCATCTGGGCCGAGAGATCCTCCTCCGGCCGCCGCTCCCGCTTGGCGGCCTCGCCGGAAAAGCTGAGCAGATTCTCGTGGCCGGACAAGAGCGCCCTCTCCCAGTACGGATCCTCGCCCCTGCCCCTGAAAGGCACCGTCTGGAGACCCCCGAAGGCGGCGGCGCCGCCCCTTAGGTGGGACGGGGCGGAGAGGGTGGCGCCAGAGCTCCGGGCGGAGATGTTGAGCGAGGCGAGGTTGGCCGGGATGGTTCCGGTGCCGGTGGCGGCGATTACCGCCGGCTCCGCCTGCTGGAGGAGCCACTCGATGGTCTCGCCGTCGGACCGGTGGCCGAGCTCGCGGGTGAGCTGGAAGACCCGGGCGGCGCAGGCCGCCGGCATCCGGATCCGCCGCCCGCGGCCGTCGACCTTGGTGTGGCGGTCCTTGGTGGAGGCCCGCTTGGGCGGGGGCTTCTTCGACGAGTTTTCGCCGTCGNAAGATGATAATTAGCTGTCACTTGGCAGCTGTGCTTGTTTTTGTTTGTGTGAGAGAGAGAGAGAGAGAGGATAAGCGAGTGAGTGAGTGAGTGCAAGCTTTAAGCAACAAACATAATGAGTGGGAATTATATGGGTGGTGGGGATAGGGCAAATTAAGCAAACTTTCTTTTTGGACAAGTTTGTGCTTTTTTTTTTTACTTAATCTATTTAAGGAGAATTTTAAAAATTAGTACTTCCTCCTATTCATAATAAGTGTCGCTTTAAAAAGTTATACAGTAATTAAAAATATTTTTTTTGTCAATAGTAACCCTCTTTAATGAAGATAGATGATGATGTTTTGGGAAAAAATTAAGAGTAGATATAAAAAGACGTAGTGTATTTATTAGCTAAATGAGGGTAATAATGAAAAAATATGTACAAAATATCCAAAACGATATTTATTTTGTTAATAGTTAATAAAGCTAAAATGACATTTAAAAAAAAAATTAGAGGTAGTAATAAGTTTTGTTCATTGATTAAATTGCAATTTCGATCCTATTAAATTATGAAAATAGCAATTTAAGTTTACTTCTAATTTTAACGGTCAAATTATTGAAATTGCAACAAAACTTTAAATTAATGACTTAAATTACCGATAAGAATTCAACCCAAAAATAATATTAATTGAGCATTTTGACGGCCAAATGACTGAAATTGTAATAAAATTCTAAATTGCCTGACTTAAAATGTTATATGCGTCACTCCAGTTGGACCTAAATTGTTACATTCATAATCTAACGGTAGACATATACATTGTACACGGACCGAATTGGCTCGTTCAGGTCCGTTGACCACAGATCTTTGTCCCATGATTTTACTCGGCCCGGTTCAGGTTCATGATTTTTCACAATTTAAACAGCTGATTCCAATTCTGCACGATTCAACGATTTTTTTATTTTTTATTTTAATTTTTAATTATTAATTTTTTAATTTATTGGTTCAGCCCAAAACCGGCGAGCCGGTTTCTGAACCAGAACCACCAATTCATTGAACCGAAACTTACTCCAAAAAAGGGGTCTGAAACCGAGGTTTGGCCCCATCTATCTAACCGGACCAAATTTACGATTTAGTCTAGCAGTTCGTTAGTAGTAGTTCAATCATTTCAAAACTAACTAGTTTAAGAATATTTTTACAAGAAAAAAACCAAATCCCGACCTAAATTCAAATTTTCAGCCAAAATTGTTCTCAAATTCATAAATTATAAATTTTATTCGCAGATTGCCATGATGTCCCATTAGACATCCAACCAAAATTTGAAATTTTTGGTTAAAATTATCCTCATGTTTCTCATTTTTTATTGATTAATTGAATTTCAGAAGGTATACTTTTTATACAATCACGAAGTTATATGGGCACAATATAAAAATTATTTCCATATAGTGACCATATTGCGAAATTGTTCACTATGTTGACCCTAGTAAAAATTGTTCAATTAACTTACTCGTTTTATCACTCTTGGTTCAGTACTTATCACACCTATACCATATTTTAGAGTGTGACTTGATTGGTTTATACTTAATAATGTCATGTCATTTTTAATCTACTATGTATTTTCCACCTGAAAATTAAATCACAAAGTGAGATTTTTCAGGGGTCCTATAATCTCCGATCGAGCTTAGAAAAGTAGGTTTAATCAAGGAATTGAAATTGAAGAAATCCATACATAATGAACTAGTACGTGTAACCCGTGCGATGCACGTGCTGTAATTATTTTGTGAAATATTATAAATCGAATGAGATGAATCAAAAAGTAATAAACATTTAAAATTTTAGTCATGAAATGTATTTTTTTTTATGTTCGTATAGGTGTTTTTTTGTATGGCTGTGATAGGATATTTATTATCCCCACACTCGTTTTTAAAAGCAACAAATATCTTTTAACATCAAGAAATATGAAATAAAATATTTTGGATATTATAAATTGATGTGATAGATATCAAAGACTGTTTATCTCGTGAAAATGCTAGTTTTATGACAATTTTAGAAAACAGTTACCATAGAATGTGAATTTTGTGATTATCTTGTTTATTATTTCAGTCATTTTATACATCGAATGAAAATATAATATTTTAAATTATTTTGTACGTTCCATAAGTGATTTAGTTTGTCTAATTTGTAGTTCTTGTGATAATATATATTGACGTGATAAATTATTATGTTTATCAACTGAAATGAAAATATTAAATCAAGATTATAAAATTGTTACGATAATATTGGATTTGTGATTATCAATTTATTTTACGATTTATGATTATCTATTTATTTAACATTTTTTTTGGTGATTCATATCATTGTAATTTTATACATTGAATAAAAGTGTAATCTTTTAATTTATTTTGTTAGGTTCCATAAGAGATCCAGTTTGTATAATTTGTAGTTAATGTGATATATTTGTATTGACGTGATAAAATATTGTGTTTATCAGTATAACGGAAAGATATTAAATTGAGATTTTTAAGCAAACCCGGTAAATCAGATATTTACCAAAAGAAAAAAAAGAGAGATAACATTAAAAAGAAATCGTGTATTAGAATTTATCCAAAATAAAAACTAAAAATAAAAATTGAATATTAAATGAAGATTTTTAAGCAAACTGTGTGAATCAAATCTTTACCGAAAAAATATCGAAAACATTACAAATGAATCGTGTGTCAGAATTTCTCCAAAATCAAAACCAAAAATAAAAACTGATTTTTATTTCAAAATGCAAAACAAAAATATGCTAACAGACTTGATAAAATAAAAGCTACCCATATCATAACAAAATCCGATTTTTTGGCCAACAATTACTATATATAGGATATATTTAATGTATTTGACGGGAAAACATTTCTAAAATTGTAAAAAGGTTACTCTTTTTATATAATAATAGATACGATATACAATTTTATTTATTAGATAAAATGACATTATTAATCACTCCACTTTCTAAAATTTAGTAAATTGATCCAAGTCAGTATTTAATTTTAAATGGAGCTATAAATGGATCAAAATGATAAAATTTAAAAGCTGAGAGACAATTTTGATTCGAATCAATATGATTAAATCAATTTTGGCTAGGGACATCTATGTTCAGTGGCAGGACTTCTCTCAGTTCGTATATCTCTGCATGGCTATCTCTTTATCTGTTTTGGCTTAGTTCTGTTTGGCCCTTGCTTTGTATTTCTTTTCTGTAAATTTCTGTCTTTGTTTTAGTGCTTGCTTTAGTTTTTTGTAGTTGCCTTTTGTGGGATCTTTTCCCTGTAACTTAGCTTCAATGGGAATGCTAAGGTTTATGTCCATGCACATGCTGTTTGTACATACTTTTCCCAGAGTTGGGAATTTATATTAATTACCGTTTGGTCAATATATATGATCAATTTTGAAAAGAGGAATTTGCACCCTACACTTAAATAATATGAAGATATTACATAATTACGTCCCATATATAATTATTTACAAACTAACTGAATTTGTTAATTTTATTTTCATATATGCCTAAAAATCTGTTTTTCATATTTATGGTATTGTTACTAGATAATGGAGGAATTAATGAGAGTCCATCGGTTACCAAAAACTGATTTCTTATTTAGATGGTAACTTCCATCAACTACGCCTCTCTCCTCCCCCCTCCCCCCGCTCTCTCTTCTTCACACACGGCACTCTCTCTATCTTCTTCGCATAAGTCCGCCGCCATGTCTGGCTTCTCCGTCAAGTACGTCCCTTTCAACGCCGTCCTCCACCGAGTCCTACTCCCTCGACGAGATCGTCTACCGAGCCATCCTCGCGGTCATCATCTACATGTAGGCGATGCGAGAATCTTTTTCTATGGAGTCGACGAGAGAGAAGATGAATATATTCCGGAGCATGATTTCCTCAATTACCGCCGGCGACGGCGTCCTCTAAAGAGGGTTTCGGCGTCTCCACAATCGGGGGAGATGAATGGTTGGTTGCAGAAAATTTGAATTTTGCTTCGATATTTTAGGGTTTTGGACTGTGTGTAGATTAGTCATTACGTTGAAATTTGTAGACATTGGATTGGAGTATATGTACAGTATATATGACTTTGCTTCCTCCCGACGAGTGCAGTATATGTACAGTATATATGAAAACATGATTTCCCACTCCAAACATATTACATGAAAACATGATTCCAATCAAGAAATATACCTCTCTATCTATTATATTTTTTTCTTTTTTGTTCTTCTATTACATGAAAACATGATTTCCCACTCCAAACACAATTATGGGATGCACCTGTCGATCAAAGTTGTTCATATTATTTTGGAGATATAATCATTCCATACATGAACCAGACTTTTTCTGTATTGTGGTATATGAACAGTATATGTTAGGATGTAAAGTATATGTACAGATATAATCATTCCATACACCTGTCGATTAAAAATTTTCGGTATATTATCAGTATATTATCAGTATATTTTTTCATGACATTAACAGGAAGACGTTCGACAGTATATTATCAGTATATTTTCGGTATATTCTGCCGTTAAAGATGTAAAGTCAGGATGCAATCTCACATCCTGGGGACGCTGCTCGTCGGAGTCGTGCTGACGCATGTCTAGTATATTTTCGGCGTGTTTCCTTTTTCTTTTCCGTCTGTTTCAACGATGATTATGAATATAAACTCAAATATAATATCTTTCCATCTTGAATCCTTAAATTGTGCGCTACAAATATGGAATTGTTGTTCACCTTACTTGTAACTGTTTTAGGCATGAATATAATTACATTTTATCTCTTAGGTATATACACAATTTTATTGGTTTGGATGGTAATGTTGCAATTACTTAAAAAACGGTAAGTATACATAAAAATTTTCCTTTTGAAATTGTGCGAAGTTACATTATTAAAAAAAAAAAAGGCCTGAAAATTGCAAATTAATAAAATACCTTTTGGTTATTTGCTCTATTTCATTAACTTCAATCGAATATGGTGATACTTTATTTTATTTTGTTCTATATATTTGATGAATTTTTTATACTATTAAATAGTGCTTCACAAACAGAATCCTAATTTTATTGAAAAAACTATTCATTTAGATTAAGTGATACGTAAATTAGATGAACACAATTCTGAGCGAGTTTTTGTAAGGTGTTTACAACTCTAAATATATATATATATAAATAAATAATTTTAACGATTCCCATACGAAAGAGGAAATATTTGACCCCCATCAAACAAAACTATCCCAATCAAAAAGAAATCATGCATGGTCGGTTGTATAAGCAGTAAAAGTTGACCGACTTAACTCATACCCAAATCATGAATAATTTGGTAAACAAGATATATAGTAACCCACTAAAAACTAAATAATTTTGAAATTAATTTGATGTAGTTGAATTATTGAACCGTCTCGCCCGAGTCTTAAACCTTTAGATCAATTACCTCTATACTAGTGCGTGCGATGTATAGGAAAACAATATTACGATTGTATTAAATAAAATATATAGATAACATTAATCATGATTTATCCATTGTTTTTAAATTAAACCGTGTTAGACACAGTCCGATCGAATAGACCGAGAACCGGTTTATAACCAGTCTAGTTCGCTTGAATAAAATATTTACTATCGAATTCGTCAACACCAGTCGGTTGGACTGGTAGGATTGATACGATTTCTAGATAAATTTTGCTAGATTTAAAATTTAAATAAAATTACATATTTAAATAAAATAGAGATTTATAAATTATCTATCATTTAGTTTAAATATTTTAATTTATAAATTATTTAAATATTTAAGTAACACATTTTATTTAAAGTTATTACAAAAAATGCTATATATATATATTTATTAAAATGTTCATAGATTAAAATCTATGAACAAAGCACAAATGATTTAATAAAATAACTTGATCGTTTCGATGACGGTCCGGTTATGAAACCGTTATATTTACTGTACGTTAATTAACATCATAAAAAATATTATTTAATTCACATAAATTAATAAAATGATATATAGATATTCATAAATCATTAAATATGTTGTCATAAAAGTATTGTTAATACGGTTATTTGAAGTTTAGACTAAATCACATTCACGTAATAAAATATTTTCAAAATTAAAATTTATATTTAGGTTTAATAATCGATTTGTTCTGGTCAAACTTATACATAAATTAGTCACCTGGGACCAACCAAGTTGTGTCAAGTTTTTTTTACTATTTTAAATATCACATAAAATTAATTCAATCAACCCTAATTCAGTCACCCGATTGATCCAAAGAAATTTTCTTATTTTTTTTAAATATATTTAATTTTATGAAACAAAAATATTTTATGATTCATATAATAAATGTCTACCAAATGATAGTATATTAAGATTATAAATTATATATCTAAAGATGAATTAATTATTTTTACTTTATGCATATTAATATAAAGTAAACATAATAATTTTTAAAAAATTAAAATTAATTTATTGATTATGCAATTTAAAGAATATTTTTAGCATTCAATAGTTTTTTAAAGGAACAATATAAAGATCGAGATTCTAAAACTTTTTTTATATTTTCAATTGAGATTTCATAAATATAAAGACCGATATTTTAATGTTATTCGTTGTTTCTCAGAAAAAAATAAAAATAAAAACATGCACACATAATAAATCTTAGCCGGAATTTTAAATAATAAAATTAACTAAACCCAAAATTTAAGGTAGCATTTAATGTTGTATGATTTTTAAAGAATAAATAAGAAAAATAATAAAACTTACTATTTATAGGATGCATTAAATTTTGACCTATTTTTTGTTACTATTTTTAGAAAATGATAATTCTTATTATATATATATATATATATATATATATATATATATATATAGCTTGTAATAATTGAGCTGAGTTGAGCTTAAGTTTGAGCTCAACTCATTTATCACTATTAACGAGTTGAGTTCGAGCTTTAACGAGCTAAAAAATCTCTTTTCGACCCTTAGTGAGTTGAGTTGAACCGAGCTCGGCTCGTTAACGAAACGAGCTTTAATAATGAGCTCTCTCGAGCTCGAATCGAACTCGAGCCTTAACAAATCGAGTCTGACTCGTTTACTTTAACAGCACTACCTATATATCAGTATTGTGGATGGGCTCGATGTTGACCCTCTAACAATCAAGTAATAAATTAATAAGAAAGATAATGTATTTGAGAGGTGTTATGTCAATGAACCCGAATTCATTATTCATCCATACGAGATTAAGGCATGATTGGATATAAATAAAATGGGTTTTCTACGAATTATTAGTTAATGTTATTTGATTTTGAATAAATTGATCGGGGTGAACTTTAAGTTTGTATTTAAATAATATTTAAAATGTAATAATTATAGTTGATGTGTTGCAAAAATAAGAGAGAGTTTATTAGAATTGATAGGTAGTTAAAAATAAGTTACTGGTAGTGAATTAAAGTTAATGTGATGTTAAGAATATCATTGATTGATATTATTTAGTCATATTGATAATATTGAGTAAAGTTGAGGTGAATTAGATTTAATTGAACTTTGAGTTTGAAATATTATCTAATCAGTCAAAGACGGTTGATTTTTGTAACCAATTGTGCTTAAAATGACTCGTTTAATATGATTATTTCTTAACCATATCAAGGAGTCAAATCCTATATAATCGAAGAGTAAATATGAAACAATTCACAGTAAATATTCAGATTATTAATATCATATATTCTTATTTTTTTTATAGTATAGACCCTACATTGAATCGTACTAATTTTATGGATGTTAGTTGTTTGAGAAAATATCATTAATTTGGCATGGTCCCAAATTCAATGTTATTCACATTCCCACGTGTGGTGCTAATTTTTATCAATCAATCTATGATATAGAGACATTGTTGGAGCTGAAAAAAAAAAATAGTACTATATATGGGACCATTGAACTATTAATAGGAGTTAAGACATTAAAATGGAATAATACATATATATAATTCAAGAAGAAAAGCATTTCATGTAAGGTGAAATAGAAAAATGTCATACCTTATGTAACTCTTCATATCACATTGTCCCCTTTGTAGATGAAATCATATGTTTATAGTGTCAATCAGGGTTATTGTAAATGCAACTTTTAGACTTTTAGCCTTTTACTATGAGCTATTTGCCATTTTGGTACCTATAGCTTATGCTTTTGCTTAAATGAGACTTATATATTATGATATATTTACAATTTTGGTACCTATAATTTATTTTTTGCTAAAATGCAACTATGCTTTGCAATATTTGCAATTTTGGTAGTTTTTTTTTGTTTTTTGTTTTTGTTTTTTTTTCTTGCAAAAGTAGTAAATAATGAATATTATTAATAATATATCATAAAAAAAATGAGTATTGCAACTTTGGTTCTTAAAATGCCGATTTCCCAAAAATCCACTAAGTCACATTTGTCGGAATGTAAGGGCGATACCCTCGAACCCGTTTTGGTTTATTTTATACTACGTTCGCAAAAAATAAACCNATAATGAAGGAGGCAATGGCCTAGAAATTAGTTAGGTTAGGGTGCGCCGAGGGTAAGATATCCCCATGAGATCATGATCCAATCATTGCCCTAACCCACCAGGAGGATCCGACACACGCTGTAAACCAATCGAAGATAAAGTCGCCAAACTCGCCATATAATCTGCTGCAAAGTTCGCTTCTCTATGAACATGGTGGAGGCTCACACTCCGACGTATGTACCCCGAATTCTTCATCAGTACCGAGAACCATATTCTTCACACATAGGCTATCCACCTCTGCTATAACCTGGCTATATCCTAAATCCCAAGCCAGTTGCAGTCCCTGAAATAATCCCCATAATTCGGCACCCGTGATGGTACAAAATCCTATGTTCATGAGGAACCCCACGATCCATTTACCAACTTCGTTTCTAAGAAGTCCTCCCGCACTACCCATGCCAGTGGATTTGCCAAATGCCCCGTCTGTTCACTTTTATCCATCCCGGAGCAGGTGTAGCCCAATGTATTATACGTGCAACGTACACGCTGGCCCCCACTTTCGCATATGCCGCGGTTGCTCGATTATAGTTCTCCGCCATACGCAATACCTCAACTTGTCGGGCCTCGTGGCTAATGTTGCGTTGGTTGAAGATCATTTCATTCCTCCACGTCCATGCTCGCCATGCAGCATACGAGAAGATGCTGCTCCAATTAGTGATCGACCCCAGTTTAGTTTTTCTTAAATTCGTCCTAATCCATGCCGGAAAGGGCTGTTGGAAAACATCGTGCACTTGTTCCTCCAGAATTAGTCTCCGCCACACTTCCTTTGTCGCCGGGCAGTCACGCAGAACATGGATCAACAACTCACACTCACCGCACATATCGCATAATTCTGAGCTTGCAATGTGACATCAAACTCTCTCCAGGTTTGTCAAAATTCGGCCTCTAGCCGCAAGCGATAGGAAGTTTCGGATTCTTTGTGGTGCTGGAACACGCCAAATCAATTTCCACAGAGGTTTATCGAGATTAATCTCCTCCTCCCCGAGAGCCTGATATGCT